CATTGTTGGCCTCAAGGAACCAAATTTTTTAAGATTTTTAGGTAACTTCTCGTAAAACTGTGTAGTTAATATGAACTTTTATATTGTTTTCCATTTCTTTGAATTGCTTCGATAACAACTCTTACTCTCCTCTTGTTTTACTAAATAAACTTCAAAAATTAAGGTATTTTCATTTGGGAAATTAGATGCTACATTGATTTGACGGATTTTTATCTCCAGTTGCAAGGTGGACATTATGGTTGTCGGCAACTTACGAGGGCCATGGCAATTCATTGTATGCACGCATTTTCTAGTAATTCTGTTTGTTAGCTCACGAAGAGCTAAGGTTAGGTGAAATCTTTGATGTTCGGATACGAAAATAATTTGGTCACATCATCTGTTGGTAAACAAATAAGTTGTAATATACATATAGCATAACCTGTTCAAATATTTGTCATGGAGTTTATGCCAAGCAATTTGACTATTGAAAAACATGAAATATCAAAATACTTCTCAAAATAATATTATTAACGTCTCCTGCTATAAGTGTTTTATTGTTTCTGCCAATATCCTCGAGTACTCATGTTGTAGTGCTGCTTTTCATGTGTCAATTGATGATAGTCATGTCGTAGCACTGGGATTTTTGGTGGTTGGCAACTTTCCATCATAGCTACACTGTGGGATATTAGGGTTCCTCACAAGACGAGGTCCTTTAGGCACCTTGTTGATTTTTGGACGAATATCCTGCAAATAAATGATTAATCCATTTCAACAAAATTGTGAAGCTTTTCTCATAATTGACACATATGTAAATAAGTATTAAGCAATCATATCCATTGCATGAGCTTTAGAAAAGGAGTTATGGAATTTATAGATAGGCTGTTTGTACAACAGATTCAATTATCAAAAAATAATTATAAATTCTTGCTCTGAGTTGAATGCAATTGTTAACTTCACTAGATAAGAATCTATAACTATTAATACCTGGTCGAAGATGGAAGTTGGAATTGCAAGAGTGGCAAGAGCATTGGGAGAATCAACTATTCCTGAAATCCTTCCTTCACAGGGGCAGCATGAGAGTAGAAGATAGACCTGATATCCACCTTTATCACTCAGGTTTTCTGCAAAAAATTTAAGTCACAGAAGGGTGATTTTGATGGATAGATTTCATACCTGTTCTTTAGTGTATCCGAATCTGGACAAGTAGTCAATAGCATTTAGCACTGCACGCTTGTAAGCAACGGAAGCATCAAGAAAGTGTTGTCGCCCACTCTCATCAACGCTAATGCCCTCAAATACTAACCATTCTGAAAATCTTGGCTCGACAGGGCCTATCTCAAAAATGGGGTTGACATGTAGAGGAGTTGGCCCCATTGGAGTGAGGTATTCTTTCATACCATCCCTAATGATTTCACACCTGATGGGAGTTGAAAACACAGCGGGATGAGTTCTAAACGGATAAGAGGAAATCATGAAATGTGATTGACTTGAGGAGATTTAAATTTCAAAATGTTACTTGAGTTCTAGAAAACCACTCATCTCGATTGCGCCACAAAATGCAACTTCACCATCTCCTTGTGAAAAATGCATATCCCCAGTGCTCAGGTTTGCTCCATCGACAAATACTGGAAGGTATACTTTGGAACCTCTACTGAGATTTTTGATGTCACAATTTCCTCCGTTCTCCCTTCCAGGAATTGTCCTTGCAGCCTCTCGTGCAATTCTTTCCCATTCAGGAGCCCCTTCCTCAATCTACAAGCATAATGAGCTATTTGAATTATCCTTTCTTCTACCGGGAGTGTTAAATTGCATTTGCATTTGCATTTATTTTGGTGTATTTAGATGTTCCATGAACTTTTCTTACTGAATACTAACAGTTGCAACCCCTTTAGTGATGATAGGTGTGCCATTAAAACAATGCTTGTTGTTTGTAGGTTTCTTACCTTGCCTAGAAAGCATCCCTTTGTTGATGGTAAGTTTGCTAGTGGCCTTGAATGCAGAACCTCACACAATTTTAGAGACTGAAGTCCGGTTTCTTCGACTTCTCTTTCCCTCTCATTCCAGATGTTAAGAAGTTCCATTGAAGGTGCAGTTCCAACTATACCAGGGTGTGTTAAACCAGGAAACCGTACACCTGAGATACACATGAGGGTAAAACTTCATGTTAGAGAATCGTGTAAAATAATTAGATAAAATTTTGGTCTATGCGCAAGTACGCAAAGTAAGAAAACAGGAAAGGATTTACCAGGTATATGAGGAGAGTAAGCATATATTCCTTCAAAATACCATATGGCTTTGGTTGCACAAGGAAAGTGGTCAGTGAGGAATCCACCTCCATTCTCCCGATCAAATATTGCTGTAAATCCCCATTCATCCCCAGGTAGCGGCCCCAAATTGCAAATTTCAACAGCAAGAAGATCACCAGGCTTGGCTGGATTACCATCTACATCAAGAACTCTAATAGGTCCACTAAGATAATGCACCTGAGATAGTGTTTAGAGAGATCATACTATTATTAATTGCTGATAACAGTAACTATGATATGTTTAACATTAGTTTCACAGATGAAAATCATGTGGGGGGTTCTTAGTTTGATACAGGGGAAGAATCAGTGGTATCTTGATCATCTTGACAGGCATGAAAAGCCTTTCTTTTTTTTGCTTTTATTGGATATAGTTCCTTCTCTTTTTAAATTTGTTCTATCTGCTTAGTTTTATGTTTTCATCTGTAGAACCATACAGTTTTGAAACTAGATGAGTTTTACTTACTGTTGATAGATCTAAGTTTTTTACATCAACTGCAGCGTTGTCATCTTTAATGGCTCCTCCGGTCCAGTCCACCATTTCTATTCTAAATATCTCACCGGTCTTGACCTCTGCCACCGGCGGTATCATGGGGTGCCACCTATTATGAAGAGGTACTTCCTGCTCCCATGGCTTCTTGTTTATGTCTATCGGAACTATTAATCTTGGAGTTAGAGGAGCCATGAATAGAGTATAAGTCTGTTTTTGCCTAAAACTAATGGAGGACAAACTTTTCTAAGGTTGACTTAGACAGGCTTAGTAGGCGTGGCAGACAAATGGAGGACAAACTTTTCCAATGGTCCTTGGATTCCTTTGTTGACAATTGACAAACAAGTAATGACACTAAAAGATAGTAAGGTTGATTGCAACTTTATCTTTGCTGCTGGGAATTGCACTGTTAAAGATAGGATTTTGTCTTCAACCCATGGCCAAAATTTAAACAAATCGAGGTAATCAACCTGATCCATATTACGAGAAAATTTAAATAAATCTGAAACGCTACAAAGCAAGAAACTAAAGTAGTTTGGAAGTTAAAATTTCATTTAAAATATGAAAGCAAAAATATAAGGAACTCACAATAGAGGGATCTGCATACTTGATATCTTCAGCAGTGTACTCTTTTGTTATGCCACCTCCACTGAAATCCACCATCTCTACCCTGAATACCTCTCCAGTTCTAACCTCGGCAACAGGAGGTATGTCGGGATGCCATCGGTTGTGAAGAGGGAGTTTCTGTTCCCGTGGTTTCTTCTTCAAATCAATTGGCACCACCACTCTACAACCACGCGACGCCTCCATTGATGCCAAACTTCACTATACCTCCACTACAAGAATGAGTCAACTACCTACTGGAATTTAGGATTCCTTAAATTACGCACCCTTTATTTTCAGATGATAAGTTTGACAGCCATGATTTGCCACCCCAAGGCCAATTTTTTCTTCGGGTGGACCACCCATAGCACATACCAACAAAAATATCACTCAACTTT